AACTTCATTATCAAGTGCTGAGGTAGCCCAATTACACGAGATTCATGAATGGAACTGCAAAACTTGGGCGTCGTGCTCATTATTATTGAGGAAATTAGCTTATCTTAGCCACGTCAAACGAAAAAGCCAACCACCCCCAATGTCAAATGACCGATTCACACTTTCTGACCTAAAGGTCAAATTAATTACACTCGTTCCAACCACCCGTCGAACGATTACCTACGCCCGCACGCATGCTAGAATGACAGAGCTCTACACGATTCCGTCACCCCATCGCCTTATAATTGCTTATAACTTGAGATTAACCGATTTAACGACTTGATAAATGTCTTTCAAAAGGGTCGAAACGTTGTCACCAACACCTTGTATTCCGTTGAGGTAACCTGTTCACATTTGTTGTTCCCGTCCTATCAGATTTCTTTTTTAAACACCTCCCCCCTTTCCTAATCAAAAATAGCCAGGGCTCATGAGGAGGTGACTTCACTCCAAACGAGGGTTGTTTTGGCGGCAACGGTTTACTAACTGATATCACCTGAATGCGAAATTTTATCGGGTACTGGTCAAAGTAGGTCTCCGAAAATACAGTGTTTGCACAATGCCTTAGTTCCAGTGACCAGTGGTGAAGGAGGACTGCTCTACATGTGCATACCTACCGACATAGATATCTACATACACATTTGAGAAAACTTTCACTCTAGAATAACTTTGTCTGTTCTGTTTTCAGATGCAAGTACCTATTCCTGTTAATCGGGATATCATGTACTGGTGATCACGCCCAGAGTTGACGCGTGTGAAGGCGATGGGTTCCCGTTATACGGCCACCTCGTTAGGTACCACAAATTTCGAATCTGTTGGCAGTGTGGTTGATGATCTGGTCTCAAATCGGGCTGTGTGGCGCAAAATCTGTTGCATCATTCTGTGTGTTCTGTTTGTGATCGATGCGTGGGCAGTGATCGGATTGCATATTCTCAATTTCACTAATCAGACCGCGTTGGAAGCGACCGTATCCGTGGTTGTACTTATTGTGGGACAATACATTGGTAAGTGGACAGAACTAATTTTCAAAGTCTGATCCCGTTGGCACTAACAATCACCGTTGTTTTTGTGTGTTCATTGTACGTTTTCCCTTGAATGGTTTAGAACAGTTAATTGCTCGCATAAGACCGAGCTCGCGTTCTTTTATCATTCATCAGGTATTTTTAAGACCTATATTCTCAACATAAATCTCGTCACGATTATGTACACTGGCATCTTGAGTAGTAGTTTCAAGAAAGATCGTCACTCATACGCTGCATGACCAAGACGTAATCGACCTTCGGTGTCAAGTTTACTGGGACACGAAACATCTAAACCACATAATCGTTGTCATGATTTGTCAAAGCGAGCACATCGCAATGGGAATAAAATTATCGACGCGAAAATGCGTCTCCCATTTGACATGTCAGGTCAACTGGAAGTGTAGATCATTCAACCATTTGGAGTTTGTGGTGGTGGTGCGGGTGTCGGGTGGAGTGGAGGGCTCTTTTATAAAGTTAAATTTATCGACACAAGGGCTGAATTCTGTTGAGACGAATGAAGCAATCAGTTATCATTTAGTCTCGATTCTTGTGACTAACCAAGACAAATCCGATGAGTAGTCAATATGTCAGAAATTAGGAAAATCGTCACTTCGATTCTTCTGTCTGTTTGAAACTACTGTTACAAGCTAGCTGAAACAGCCCAAAGAAAGGAGCCAATCTTGCAATACGAACATTTGATGCCACATAACGTACCCTGAAAAGAACAATGCATTTTCTCCGATGCTGAGTGTCCAGTAAGATGAGTTCCGAATAAGTGGTTTTCGTGCACTGCCTTTTGTCCTATTGAATGTGTGTGATAAGTTGGTCACCGAAAAAGTTCAGTTCAGTTCAGTTTTCAGTTTTTACAACCATTAACCATGTACTTTAGTGCCCCGGTTTCGGTTTCTGTCTTTTGGTGTCCCATTTGGATAAAAGAGCAGAATGAAGATCGGAATGTTGAAAATAACTTCAAGCTGAATATGGAGAATTCATATAGAGTGGTGTGGTTTGATAGGAATAGGCAACGCCTCAGTTTCACGGGACGCCAAGTGATGCTGTAAAGGAGGGGCGTACAATAAGTGCACATATTTGTTTCTATATTACCGGGGTCGGGAATAATCATCTGGGTCACAAAGATCAGTTATCTTGGGTTGTTTCTGGTTAATGGACGAAAGTCTCTATCAAGTTCTGAACAGATTACAAGATTACACTTTATCGGTATTCGGAAGATACAAATAGCTTCATGGTGTTCACAGCATCTCATACACCGTGAAGTCCTTTGGTTAAAATTGTGTCGAATGTGTCTGCAAACAGGAAATTGCAAAAACTGAGTGGCATTGAACCGTTCAGTTTAAAATATCACATCACAATAATGATCATATACCTTCGGTAAATCGTTTTGGGATTATCAGTTTTTCGTAAACTTATTGTGCATTCGCTGAACAGTCGGGGTTATGCGAAGAAATGCTTATAACTATTTATTCTCACGTTGACAATAGAAAACCGGACCCGGTGTTCTGCAAATTGAAGCGAATTTTTCCAGTCAGAAACGGATTCTGCTCCCATATTATCATCGTTTGACTGAACCAGTCTCCAGTCACAGTAACACAGCGGTCGATAAAACGGTTTGGTTGTATCATCAAACAGACTTGTCAGTTTGGTTCGGTTATTTTCTTTTCATCCAAAGCTCCAAATCCCTGTGCCTTGCTCGTTGCTATGCCTTTGACCAATGTTAACAAAACAGTTAGCCTCTGCAACTATGGGAACAATGGAATGGACAACTTCCGCCAGGTAAGCCAGTTGTCGTCACGATTCGATCTGTGTGCGCATGATGAAACAGGTTTGGATGTCATCGAGGTGATACCAACAAAATCCCACAAGGTCCACCCGACCCATAGATGAGGTGATGCGTGCGCAAAGAACGCCCCTAAGTGATAAGGACACGGAGATTTCTCGAGGTATTTTTGATAATAAAACCCTCACACTTATAATTTTTATTCGGTAATCACCGAAGATTCAATCAGTCAGAAAGTGTGAAAATAATGAGACAAGGATGCGGGTGATAATGTCGCCAAATTATCACCCCGGGGGACGTATGTTCGAATCCCACCACCATCGCCTGACTACCCATTTCTGTGTTGATGGCGGCCCTTTGATTATCCACTTCCCCTATTTTGAAAATTGTATCATTGTGTATTCAACAAAAGGACGTTAAAATTAACAAAACAAGACCAGGAAAATTTTTCATGAATGTAGCAAAAATAAGGCTTGACCGAACTAGGTAGATAATGCATAATCATGCACACCAGCTCATCAACAGTCTGAGGAATGACCGCGAGAAGTGGTGGATAGGAAAGTGTAGAGAGATGGAGAAGGCTGTGGCTATCGGTTATAGTCAAAATCTTTTCCGTCTAATTAGGGATACGGGCCCCAGGAAAATGGGCGTAAGCGAGGTAAGTAAGGAATGTGATGGCGCACTGATTCACTATCAGCAACGCCATCTTGATCGGTGGACTGAACATTTCGAGGCTCATTTCAACTGGCTTCCATCGACATGAGACCTATCTTTACCCACCTCGACTGGGCAAATACTCCCAGTTGACATCTGTCCTCCATCTGAAATGGATGTTCCTCTAGAGATAAGTTGTCTCAAAAGGCATAAGGCCTTTGGGCCAGATGGGATGTTATCATCGGCTTCTAAGAATTTAGGTTCAGCGTTAGTTTTGCAGTTGACGAAACTCCTGGGTTCTGTATGGGAAAGCAAACAGATTCCAGCTGAATGACATGAATCGGTCATCACACCGAGTTACAAGAAAGGTGACAGATCCTCTTGTGAAAACCACAGGGGAATTAGTTTAATCAACTGAACTCCCCGCTGGGACCATACTTCTTCGATTGTCTGCCACATGTGAACAGTGCATGCATGAGAACTGGGGTGGCTTTAGACCAGGTCGAGGTTGTGTAGATCACGTCTTCACTCTTCGCCAAATTCAGTAGCACTGGCGTTCTTTTCGTAGAC